AGAGTAGACTACAATGCCGGCTGTTCTGACTCACAGACTGTAAGTAAGTTTTTTTTATATTAAAGAATTTTCCACTGATGATTCAAACGCAAGTTTTGAGCAGTGTAGAGTAGCGCTTGTTGTTTGTCGTTTCTCCGATCACAAATGCAGACATGGTTTTGTGTTTACGCGGCGTGATGCAACGCGTAAAAAGACAGTAGAAGTCATTATAATCCGTAATTATGTCCCCACTGGATGCAACAAATGCCTAGTTTATAATGGGTTTTAATGTTTTTGTCTCGTCGCTCCGGCCGGACAGGGCATCACAGTATGGTAAGGGGTGTAACATTTCCGTCACACGCTTGAGGTATTCGGCCAATCACAATGCACTGGATAGCTGGCCAATCAGAGCACACCTTGCTTTTCAGACCGATGAGCTTTGTAAAAATTGACGTGTTTCAGAAAGGCGGGGCATTTTTTTAACCTTAATCCGCATAAACATTTCATTACACCAAATACACAAAATGTTCTTTTTAGCAACATCATATGACCCCTTTAAAAAAACAGTAGTGTGTATATTTTATTCTCTCTCTCTCTCTTCCTTCGGCTTGCTCCCTTTTTTATCAGGGGTCACCACAGCGGAGTGTGTATATTTTATTAATATTTAAAAATACAGACATTCACTGATTTACTAAAATGCTTTGGTTTAAATTGGTCTAGATTTTCTCATATAGCTCTCTTCTTAATATTATTTATAACCGCACAGCAACATCCTTCATTTTCAACCTTTATTTTGAGAATATATCAAAATGGCCATTTGGAGTAGGGCAATAGTGCTAAACTCTTACATAATATAACTTTAAGCAGCAATTTAAGGGGCTATATGGGGAGGGGGAGACAAGCCAAATGGGGAATGGAGGTCATGCGTTATGTGATAAACGTTAAATGTCAGCAGAGATAGAGCATCTGCTGAGGGTATTTTCTCAGCTGTGTGCTGCACATGGCTGTTCCATCTTCATGGTAGCTCATTTGTTTTAGTGTGTTCAACAAAGCGTGTAACGAAAACACTAGTAGCAGAGAAAATGGGGCATATTTCATTTGACATGCTAATGTAATAAAGCAGATAAGGTTGCCAATAAGGCTCACCTCTCTCGCCTCTCTTCTTCTTGGTGCGGTCGATGTGATCCTTGAGTTGGATGCGGATCTGTCTCTCGTTGGGCAGATCTCTGATAAAGGGATGTTTGAGGAGCTGCTCTGTGCTGGGCCTCTGGTTGTGGTTTTTCACCAGACAGCTCTCAATGAATGACTGGAACTTTTTAGACCTGCAGATATGAGGAAGAGCTTGAGGGGAACGCTCCTTGTTTTGTCTATCAAGCTGGCTGGCAAGAGCGAGTTTGTTTACAAGTAAGGAATCATGTACATATCAGTTGCTGTTAAACAATAAAAACCTGTATGTCTAGCTTGACAAGCAACCTTTCTCAAGGTGTTTGCACTTGAATGGGCCAACATACCAAATGAAGATCACATGTGACAGATGAAGTGAACAGTAAAAGTGTTCAGGACTTTATGATTAAAAGTAGATTGGACAGTGTGTTGTTTGGTCTCGCAGAAGCTAGACTGGGGGTCTGTCCTTGTGAACAAAGAGAGGGGCACTCACCACTTCTTGGACTTGAGCCTGGGAGCTGGGTTTCTAGGGATCAGAAACAGGGCTCTCATTGGGTGCATATCACAAAGGGCTGTGGGGAAAGAGAGGAGAATGTTAACACTGGATGTCTTGTGCTGTCTAACACCGTCTGGCACATCTCAGCCTAACATTTAGAAACAGACAGGACAAAATATCCAGGAAAGTTTGTTTATGTGCTGAAACATGAAAGCAGAATGCATATTTCTGTTTATTATCTCTTGGTTGGAATTCATTCTGATTGGACAGTGATCAGGACCTTGACAAAAAGCAATTTACCTATGGTTTATATTATTAATATCCCTTACATACAATAAGGAAAAGACTTGTATTATGTATTGCACTCACAATGACACCCATTCAAAATGTGCATAAAAAGCTGGCTACCAAAAGTTTTTAAATAAGTGCTGTATTCACACTGCAGTTAAACATGGCTCAAATTGGATTTTTCCCCCTCACATGTGAAACCAATTGTGTGCTTGATAACATATAACACATAACACAACACATGCATAAAATAAAAAACATTTATACATTTGCAATACCATTTAAAATACATAGACATACATTAGCTCTCAAATGTTGTGACACTTGTTTTGAACCGTGACAACAGAAACCAAACTGCTAATTATAATGCTTATATATATATATATATATATATATATATATATATTATATGTATATATATATATATATTATATGTATATATATAAAAATACACCTTGCTGCGTACTGCGTTAGGCTAACCGAGACATGTCATTTGCACATATATTGTTGCTCTTTTGTTAGTTTTGACTGCTTTTATTGTCCTCATTTGTAAGTGGCTTTGGATAAAAGCATCTGCTAAATGACTAAATGTAATGTAAATGTAATGTAAATTGAGTGCATAAATTCAAGTTAAATTATATAATGGTATTTGTTGATGATGTTAGGAAGAATATGCCAGGGTGGGGTGTTTTACACATGTAGGTCAGTTTCTCAGCTTTGCCCACTCAGACAAGTGCATGATATGAGCCAAATTTAAAAGGACATGTGAACATTGTCAAAGCATGCAGTTCTGGTAATATATCATGTAAGTGCTTTCTTGAACTGACACTAAAAAATACACCTATTTCTCATATGCGCTGCATTAGTTTTCAGCATGACTCAATATAAAACTGCTCATGAACAATATCAAGCATCAACAAGAGGTTAAAAACTCAATTTTCAACATGTGCGCGAAATCCAACAGCTCGCTTTCAATAAATCTAACAAATATTAAATTAATATAAACTCTGGAATAGGATTGTGTGGCTTGAATAGACGCAGATGCCAAGTATCAGACTACATGGGCAGGTGCAATGAGTTCCCAGCACAGAATGGTCATGGTTTGAGGGTACAATGTCTTTCAGCCTGGCAGCAGGGACGGCAAGCTCATTCCAAACTAGAGGACAGTCAGGCTTAGTGAGTTTGACCAGCAATGCCACTTTTGGACACAGACCTGTTGCTACATACTGAGGGCCAATATGCCAGTGCCAACAAAAATACATGCACAAACACACACACACACACACACACACACATTTCCATTTGTTGTCAGCAGTCACAACGGTGAGTCATCTCTCCAATCGACTATATTTGAAAAAAGAAAAAAGGCAGATTTGTCCTCAAGTGCACTGCCCAGCAGCTTTCTGTCCTCTGGCCAAAGCAGTACCACCCTGCCAGGGCACCTTCCTACAGGATTATACCCCTCTGCAGCCAGGACAAGATCACTACAGTCTGCCTGCCCTTTTGCCTATCTATCACTGCTCAGCCATCTGTGAGACAGCCTTGCACTGAGAGCAGCTCATGCAGCCTGTCCAGACTCTGACCGCAGAGGACAGTCTTATATATCTAACTGATGCAAGGAAGAGGTCTGTGACATTCACATATGCTTCAGCCGATGTCATAATGCAACGCGACTCAACATATGGCCTCTTTTTCTATGCGTTGGCTTGCGTCCTTCAAAAAATAAAATACATTTAAAATGAAGGTACATTTATTTGCAAAGTATTTAATTCATTGTAGGCACTGCTTCAGGGTTATTTAATTATTTATTTAGTTAAATTTCTGCAAAAATTATGAGTGAGGATTCTGCTTTGATGCCCTTGAAAAATGAAGTAGCCCTGTCCTGATGTAACTTTGGATGGTGTATATACCTCTTCTCTGATAACATAAACCCCAATATACACAAAGTAGTGAGCCCTTTTACTCACGTGGGGCTCCTTCGGCCATCTCAATGGCTGTGATTCCCAGCGACCACAGGTCACTCTGAAACACAAGAGAGAGAGAGAGAGAGAGAGAGAGAGAGAGAGAGAGAGAGAGAGAGAGAGAGAGAGAGAGGAGACCACACATGAGAGAGAGAGAGAGAGAGAGGACACCTCACATGAGATGGGACACAAAAACTTAAGACATCACAGAAATGAAGTTTAGAAATATTAGATAAACTATTGACGAACATAAAATTAACCTAGTAAAAGATATAAGTAGCTAGCTCTATGTCTGTATGCCCCTTAAAATGGTATAAAATTCGTCTGTCCCATCTAAGAGGTCTTGATCTTGATGTTTTGATCTTCAAAAATCAAAAGCAATAAGCCATAACAGCTTGTGTGTTACTGTATTACCACCATTAAAGGGTATTGTTGGCAAAACTGTCATTAACTGGTCACAGGAAGTGTTAGAAATTTTGTTTAAGGTTAAAAATTTATTTTAAGGTTAGATTCTCGCTATTAACTAGTTGCTTTTTAGCATGCATATTACTAGCATATTGACAGTTTATTAGTACTTTTTGTTGTATTAGCACATATTAATGCCTTATTCTGAATGTCCACAGTCTAGATTCCTTAATCCTACGCCATACCTAAACTTAACAACTACCTTATTATCTATTAATAAGCAATGTTGGCGTTTGTTCAGGGAAAACTCTTAGTAAATAGTGAATATGTGTTCCCTATTCTAAAGTGTTACCAATTCACCAATACCACACACAGCGGACAATAAGGCTCAATTTAGATAATTATAACTGCACTGTAAGTGTAACAACAGAAAACAAAACACTCTGCAAAAATGTTCTGGTCCTTATGTTAGATTATGCAGCTTTATAACTTTACAGTAGATGTTGATGTAATTGAACTGATTTTAATTTTTTCCATCAAAATCCACTTTTTATTAACTCCACATTTAACACTCGTCACGGAGACAGTGAATACAGAACAAATCTGACAGCTATCATGTTGGAGGACGCTTTACCAAACTCACAAGTTATCCCTAATAGAAAATTATTGAATAATTTTTTTTTAAATGTAACATTCAAAGACATTTTTTCCCCATTGCACTGGTTAATTCCTGATCCTGTTCACAGGTGTGGGTATATCAGCTATTCACAAGAGCCAATTCATTTATTCAGACGCTGGGATATCAGTTTTAATCTAAAACAGTCATAGTTCGCTTCAGAGCCACAATGACTCACCCAACCCAGATTCACTTTATTGTTTCTCTCTACAGACAAACATAACCACAGGTATGCAAATAACAAACCCTGTTGATAACCTTTTGTTTTTCTTCCATGGAAGATTGGCTGCCTGACAGTTTCTCTGGAACTGCTGGCAGTACACAACGAAACAGTCTGATGGATTCTAATGAAATCTGTTGACGATTTGTCCGCACTTACATTTCAAAATAAAGATGAGTGAAAGTTTCCCCTAAGGCTTCACCCCTCAATCATCTGTCAGAGGAAAGATAGACTCACGCTGCTGATGCTCTCTTTTATTCCAAGGCAGAAATTAAACTAGTGTCACATTACTTTTTTAGCATTAGATTAAAAAAAAAGTTAGATTAAATATTAAACTATTTTCTAACACACAATTAACCTAGCATGAAAAGTAACTAGCTTTAAATGCATCAAATGTCTGTATTCCCCTTAAAAGCCTCACTGGTCTTGACCTCGACTGCAATCAGTTAATTAAAATCAGACAAAATGTCAATTTTCTAATAAAAAAATAAAAAAATCTAATTCAGATGTGGTGATAAAAACAAACAAAACAAAACTAATTGCAGTAAATAAATTAATTTTAAAAAACATGTCAATTATAATCTAATTTTAATGATCAAAAAACACTATTTAGATGTGCCACATTTTGCATTTCCCCTCCATCTCAAGAAAAATACATTTTACTCAAAATTGTGACCTTCATGTAGCAACATAATTCGGACCCTTTCTTGTTTATTTAACATTTATTTTATAATATTTTTAAGGTCTACTTAATTTATAATTATAATATAATTAAATATTAGTAACAGGGTTAGAAAAAAAAAAATGAACAAAAATAAAACGGCTCATATATTTAACTTAAACTGCTCGAAAGTCCTTTCACAGAGGATTTGCTGAAAAAGGGAAGAACAAAAATTGAACAGAAGGTGGGCAAACCCAATACAGCATAGGCTTTTATCAGTGGTGCTGAGCATTATGCCTATGACATGCAGGCAATTTGATATGCCAATATAAATGCCATGCAGCAGTGAGTAAAACCACTGTGCACAGATGATATTTCATACTGCAATAAAATCACTGTCTTTCTTTACATTTGTCTGAGCTTTGAGTTAAACCAGAGATTAATTTTTAAACATGCATTGAAACAGACTAGAGCTTAATGCTAAAAAGAAACCGGCCAATATTTCTTTGGACTGGAAAAGGGAGGATGAGTGTGTGTCCTGTTATAGTGACATTATCAACGCTGCCAGCCACAGCACGGATCACTGTATTAGCACGAGTGATTTGTGGATAATGGTGACTAAATTGTTACCAAGGCGAGTTTATTAGATTTTGATTGCATATGCTCACATGTGTATTGAGTAAACTGAGGAGTCGTGATCAATATTCTCCTCTCGGCTAAATCACTGCAGACCAATTTGAAATGAAAGCGCTCTGTTGTTTTGCTGTTTTAGAGCAGCATTTTCATTGGCTGCAGCAGCACAGCAACATCCAAAATGATTTTATGTATATGAATGGGTTTTCTCACAATGTGAGACACTTGATTATCACTTCAAGAACAGCGTATCATATGTTACAGATTATGCATTTCTGAGTAAGGAGAGCTCACCTTATAGTCATATGTGGCATCAGGATTCTCATCACATGCGATGACCTCTGGTGCCATCCAATAAGGAGTGCCGATGAAAGTGTTCCTGCGGCTCACGGTGCGGTCCAGCTGTGCACTCACACCGAAGTCCACTGGGGTTGAGATGAAATAGATGAAGAGGAAAGCAGTCTGATCAGTGTTAAGCAAATGCTGAGAGCTACAGAGGTACGACAGGTGGGACTAACTGTAAGAATTAGTCAGGGTAGCACCATATTTAATATTTAACAGGAATGAAAAAAGGCTGTGAGGGATAGAAGTGCAGTGCATTCAATGGACTGTACTGTTATTTAAAAACAAACTGATTGTTCAGCTAACAAAATATATTACCCAAAACAAAAAATTTGCCGTGTTGACCAACAGCAAGCGAATTCTGTGTGAGCAGTGCTTTATCGCTATACTATTGACAAAGGACCTTTTGTGTCCGCAAAATTTCATCAAAATTTCACAAAGGTGACCACAACTTTATGCTGAGTGGCCCCGCACACAGTGGAATTTCACCGGTCCAAAATGGTCCATCATACAATCGCAGCCAATCAAAAGTATTTGATGTTTAATGTACAATTTTGCATTCAGTGTAGACCAACTGCTTCTCACTGGAAGCTTAATACGTTAACACAATATGCTACAGCGCCACATTGAAAAAAATCAACAGCTGATGCAGTTGTGGTTAGTGCCGTGGAAGCTGTCAAGATAGATGTCTTTCCGTAAAGAATTTGAATTACATAAGCTAGTTTAACTAGAGATGCTAAAATGAAAATTTAAAACATTTACACGTGATAAATCAAATAGGTGCGCTGACATGCAAGTGCCTGTGCTCTCAGGTAATTGGCCTCTCCTCACACTAAACATGGAGATGTAATGGGATCAGATAAAAACAAATGTTCAAGGCAGAGAGACAGTGAAAAGAAACGATTTGTTTTGAAAAGCTCCTTTCACAATCACAAACCTTTAGCATTCAGCCTTCAGCATAGTTATGAAATCAGCTAGAGTAGCACTGTCATCTAAAGGATGATCAATTATTTACCCCACACAGCCTAATTGATTTACCTCTGATCCAGCCTACTCTCTCACAGTCAATGCTAATTTCCTCGCTGAGCCTTAAAGGGGGCGCTGCTAAAAGGCAACAGCACATTAGCATTGCTGGGCCGTGCTTCTTTCACATTCCTTTGCTTCGAAACCTTCTCTGCACAGTCGCAGCGAGGCCCGTAAATGCCATGCAAAGTTATCCAAGCCACAGGGCTGTGCTCTTACCTAGTTTGACCTCTGCGTTCTCTGTTAGCAGCACATTCTGTCCTTTGATGTCTCTGTGGATGACTTTGTGATGGTGGAGATGAGTGAGCCCCTGAAAGAGAGACAAACTTGAATTAGGAGAGAAAAAAGGACAAGTGAATGGCAGAATCCTTCATTCACAAACTAGGTTGTGAATGGGTACAGTTAATAAATTAAATTTAACAACTAAAATGTAACAAATCTTTTTTTGTGAAATATTATTTTTGATCAGTTCTTGGGGTTTTGTCTTTCTTTAAAATAAATGCCACTTGGTTTGATAATGTGTCATCTAATGCTATGACACTTAAACATTTTTAAGTTATGTCTTAAAAGAATAGTTGTCAAAAACACTGAACAATTTAGTCAACCTCAAGTAGATTTAAACCTGCATTGTTTTTCTTTGGAACACAAAATGATTCACGCCCTAGATTTAAGGTCTTCTGAATGCATACTATATTATATTTAAACATTTTGGGATTAGTAAAATTAATATTTTTATTCAGCAAAGACACATTAAATTGACAGTAAACTTTCACATTGCTAAAAAAAATTCAATTTAAAATAAATGCAGTTTTTTGAAACTTTATATAAATCAAAGAATTGTAAAAAAAAAATTAAAATAATAATAATAATAATAAAAATATACAAAAATATTAAAAGTGACCCTAAACCTTTGAACAGTAGAGTATTTCATTAGATGGTTGAAATACACTTGTATCACAGCAGATGAATTGTACTGTTTAGTTTTACGGTGCTTTCTATCACTTTTGGAGCTTGGCAGCCTGTGCTCACTATGAACTGTTGTATGAAAGAGTGGCTTCATAATTCTACAAAAAATAATTTCCCTTTCAAATGAATTACACAACAGCATATACAGTAGGTTTATATCATTACTCTAATTATTTGGCGAAATTACTCATGTAACAAATTATTATTTTTTTTGGCCAGAATAGGCTGGATCAGCTAGTGGATCTCAGTAGTTGGTTTACCTAAAACAGCAAGCATGTTCCAAATGCTAGTTTAAACGCCTTAAGCTGGTTTTTCCAGCAGCAAACAGTGAATAAAGCCCGGTGACTTGAGCCGTTACCCTGAGGATCTCTCTGCTAATGTAGGCAGTCCAGTCTTCCCTCAGTGAGTTGCCCTTGGTGTTCTTGATCAGGTCTGTCACTGAGCCTGCGCCACAGAACTCCATCACCAGCTGTAGAGGAGACAACACAAGTCAACTCCTGCAAATCATATTCGTCCTTTCAACAACTCTTAGGCCCCTGAATCTCATGTCTGTGCAGTTACCCCATTTAACTTGATTTTACCCCCGCCTCCCACTTGCTTATCAAAAATATATTAGAACAACTCACTTAAAATCACAAACACCCACAAACAAAACCAGGACAAACAAACAAACAAACAGCACAATAGGGACTGCCTGCTTTAATCAGCCTGTTACTATTTCATGGGATTCATGGGATTATGCCCCATTGAGCACTGGGTGGATTTTATTATAAATTAAGACAGATGGAAGTTCCACAGATCATTAAAAACATGATAAATACTGCAGCATTTAACACAAACACCCAAGTAGGGACATTCAAATGGAGGACATAAATCTTTGAGCACTCCTCAACCGCAGGCTGAGAGAGAGAGTGTGGGAGCTGTCCATTAATATGCAAGTGGATGCTGGGATAAATGAAGCAGACAGGAGGAAAAGCCTGTCACCGTCGTCATGCACTGAAGATCTGATCCCCTCCTCTCCCACCGGTCCATGTCTTTCAGACCCAAGACGTGCAGTGTTTAAAAGACCGCATCACTCATGGTTTAATTGGACCTGATTTGGCTGCAAGAACGAAACTGGATGGCAATCACAAGAGATCAGGTGGGATTTTCACTTTAATATCTGATGTGAATGTCATTTAAGATACAACTGATTATAAATCTAGAACTGCATGTCTCATATAAATCTAGAAGTGTTCGACAAAAATAAAAAACCCACAAAACATACCAAAATAGAACTAAATATAAAGGAGTGAAAAGAAAAGAATGAAAAAAAGAACAAATAACACAATAACACTTCAAACTTAAACTCAAGTGACTGTCAAACATCCTTGGAAGATTAATTGAAGTCAAGTTCATTTCCTTTCTTCAGCTGTTATGATTATTTGTACTAAGGGGAAGGGTAATAAGGGGTAAGAAAAAGATGATATTGCTGTAATAAAGATATGCCCATAATACAAAAGGAGTATGTTAATCAGTCCATCAATCTTTGCCAATTTGTTTTCCCGGGTGGAGGTAATGAACCCTTACAGATGAAAACAAGATTTGTTCTCATGAAAAGGGCAACTGACAAATAACTACATCTACTGTTCTAGTACAGAAATCAGTGAAAATTTGTTTTGAGAAACACCTAAGTTCTTTAAACACCCATCTAATGGAATTTACTCAGCATAGAAGCTATATTTCATTTGCTGCAAATGAAAATGACAAGTACGGCCCATTAAATAGACAGCACTGTTGTGTGTGTGTACCTGACAGTTGTTTGTATAAAACCCTGAAAACGCATCTTTCCACAACAAAAACAACTAAGCTACAGTAGTAGTATCTTGAAACCATAGCCAAGTTACTAGCGATTTGTCACGCTACAACACTGTTTGCTACAAAATAGCTAGTTACTGCAAAAGCAACAATATTTTGAAAGCAAATCCCTCTATACTACTATTCTGCATTCTGCTTTATACACGCAACGAATGAACATAACACAGCAGTTGTGGATATGGAAATGGCTGCAAAATGTAGCTAGTCAGCTACATGATTCTCAAGCCCTCAGATTTAGCATCATTCTGTTGTAATTGGAAGTGACCTGTGCTTTTAGATCCTCTAATCACACTTCAGTGGAAAGTGTCCTGTCTAGTCATGAGCTCTCAGGTTCAAATACTCCACATCAGAGATGTGTGCTCAACCACACAATAGCTCAATAGTCAATAGCTACCAGCAACTGTTTGGTTACCAACATTAAGAAATTCATACCGGTATGGAAGATCATGAGGGTGAGTGAGAGAGAGTGAGAGTGAGAGTGAGAGTGAGAGTGAGAGTGAGAGAGTGAGAGAGTGAGAGAGTGAGAGAGTGAGAGAGTGAGAGAGTGAGAGAGAGAGAGAGAGAGAGACGTGACATGTGGCCAAGTATGGTGACCCATACTAGGAATTAGTGTTCTGCATTTAACCCATCCTTAGTGCACACACACAGCTGTGAACACACACACACACCGTGCACACACCCGGAGCAGTGAACTGTTGAACAACGGCCATTTTTTGGGTGAACTATCCCTTTAAGAATCGTGAAGTTTAAATCAAGGATAAGTGTAAGAACAGCTGAAGTTAAGATCGGTAATCTTGAGGTCTGAGCAAATTATAATCCATTTACGAGATACAAAACCACAACAACACACATAAAGACACATCATGTGCTGCTTGACATCTTTAATACTTTATGAATCATGAGAACCTTGCTATTTTTCTGTCTAGGATGCCATAAAGGAGGAAGAATGAGATCATTGAGCACTGCTGATGAGGCTGTGTTTTGGGTGATGGTGCTTCTCTATTTTAAGACGCTGACTCATTTTCACAGACTATCACACTCAGTCGTAGGCTGTGATTCAGCACCAATGCGTGTCCTAGACAGAGAAGTGCACATACAGTAGGACTACGTGATGTTTAGGCATTTTCGCAGCAACACGGATCTCGACAGTATCAAAACTCAATTACCTCAGTTCACTGCTTTGAAAAGACCAGCATATGCTGTGTTTGATGCTGGGGGTTCTGATACCTAAACCAACTAACCAGCTAAAGAATATGTGAAAATGCTTATTTTATTAACTGAATTACTTAAATTGTACTAAAAATAGTTAAATGTTTGTTTTATATAATAGTAAATGCTTCACAATTTGACCACACCATGTAACGGCCACCCTTACGTCCATGTTACCCAACAAGCCTTTTTTAGTCAACCTTGCTGTTTGAAAAGGAGCTCTAACAGTTAGTCCAGCAAAAAACAGCCTAAAGAAATGTGAAAATGACACGCTGGTGTAAGCTGGTCTTTTTTTAAAGGGCAGGCTTTCATTGCCTCGATGTCCTCTTCAACAGACTGAAAAGAATGTGCAATGTGCTGCAAACTAATCTTTGTGCACTAGGACAAAACTGAAGGAGTAATTTATAGGCTTCAAGTTTAATTTAGAGTCCACAGCACTAACTGCTGTGTTAAGTTGGTGTGCGAGCAAGTCGGTGTGAGCAATCGTAAAATAGAAAGTGCTTATGCAAGAGCAGCTCTGAAGCTTTGAGTGCCAGGGTGAATTGATTCCCTTGGAAACATGCACGTCACCTACCTGAAGAGCAGGAGCAAAATTGAATGTGGGTTTCAATCACTTGATCATGCAAAAATCTCTATGTCTTTGGGCTTTTGATTGGCAGGTCAGAGGGAATGCTGAAGAGGTTTGCGGCCCTCGAGTCTTACAGCAGAGGGAATGTCACCCTTCATCTGAAAGGTCTGCCCATTCAAGAGCTGTCACTCAGCGCTGAGATGTGTCACAAATGCACTTCATTTCCTGCGATGTCTATCTTTATCGGTGGAGCGCTTCATCTACGTGCCCCTGTGTGTCCCTCCAGCCGCTGATAAACAACACAAATTACCCTGCCACTATCAGACCTGTCCTGTCTTTCAGCTGAGGAAGAGAAGGGAAGTGGAAGAGGGAAAGAGTTGGTAGGAGAGGAAAATATGGACAAGAAAAGTAAAGATGGAGTGAAAGAATATCTCTAGACAGCACACATAAAGAATGCCCTCTCTTGACTTATTACTGAGATCAGTACTTACTTCATTATACACTCTCCAAGAAAAAAAAAAAAGATAAATAGCCGTTACTGGGGTGATACCCCAAGTTATAAAAGCTAAAAAGGTACATATTTGTTGGTGCATATTAGTACCTTACAGGTACATTAGTACTTTAAAACTACATATTAGTACCGTTTAAAAGGGTACCGCCCCAGTGATAGTTCTGTACCTTTTGTCTGAGAGTGTAGGCTAAACACTATCACTAGAAAGGCAAAATACAGCAACTACATCACTAGAACTGTGAAAATGACTTCCAAGTTTTAAATTTAATTGATTTGATATCAATTTTCTCACCCAAGTTTTCTCCAAATCTGAGCATAGCGCAGACAAATCAGTCTTTCACAAGATAGATCACAGTCTAGAGACTCAATTTCTCTCATCATTTTGACAAATAGTGTAGTTGCTTTTAAATGGTAATAGACCTATCCATTAAAACACAGGAAAATCAAACATTTTTTACTGGATTATTACTATTGTATACAGTAAGTATTACTAAATATTTTCTAGTGAGCCTTTTGTGTAAAATAAGTGTTTGTTTCATTTATAAAAAATATATATATTGGTCTCATTGGTATAATTAAATTAATTATTATTTATAGCAGTGGTTCTCAATCTAATCTCGGTAACACTTTACAATAAGGTTCATTAGTAAAACATTAGTTAATGTATAAACTAACATGAACTAACCATGAGCAATACATTTGTTACTGTATTTACTAATCTTCACTAACGTTAGTTAATAAAAATACAGATGTTCATTGTTAGTTCATGTTAGTTCACAGTGCATTAACTAATGTTAACAAGATTTTAATAATATGTTAGTAAATGTTGAAATTAACATTAACAAAGATTAATGAACGCTGTATAAGTGCAGTTCATTATTAGTTAATGTTAACTAATGTAGTTAACTAATGAACCTTATTGTAAAGTGTTACCCTAATCTCTTTAAATCGAAGGCCCATCAATTGTCAAACACAAAATTTGAAAGGTCCATATAGGCTATGATATTCCTTCTGGTGTTTCTGCTATAATTATGACAAAGCTGCTAATTATTAAACTGCTTTATTAAGACAAACTGGGAGTTTATTAAAAGAATGAACCAAAATTAATTTTGTGACTCCAGAAGTTTTAAGAACTATGTTTTTCCATTAAAACAGTTGTTGAGGGGGGAAATAAACAAGGGAATTTTTTCCCCCATTTTTAAACATTGTAAATCATTTTAATAAATGAAATATAAAAACATTGTCTGATGAAGAGCTTTTAGGCTCGAAACCTCACCTGTGGTGAGAACATAATTAAATATTCTTCTACTTTTGAAGCTGTGGTGTGCCAATTTTGATTTTCCTGTTTGAAATGTTTTGTGGTTGAGCACCTGCATTGAGCTTTTGGCCGGCTAGATGTGCACATTTGATTGTAATTTTTAATAAACGAAAGAAAAAAAAGGAGAAAAAAAACCCAACCTTGATTTAATATTTTTTAATGTAATTTTAAATCATCCTGCGGCCCCCGTGGAAGTTTGCTAACCTCCTTTAGCGGTACCCGGTTCCCTGATTGAGAACCACTGATTTATACTACTATTTCATCATTATTTCGTTATAGGCCACCCTTATCTCTAAATATTGATTTTGGCAAACCTATGGTCAGCCACTACATTTAAGCACCCATTAACACACAACTCTGCAGAAATACTGTGAAGAGTACATAAAAACAGACAAATTCTGTTATTCCAATCTTTATAAAAAGGCTTCACAGCCTTTACAAAGTCCTTAACTTTTCCCAGCACAGAGCTCCATTAACTCTCCATGACAACAAGTCTGTAGGAGAGACAACGGTGCTTTGATTCCTGTTCATCAATGTTCATTCAAGGCCCATTTATCATACACTTCCCCATGGGCCCATAAAAGACCACATATACACAGGGCAGTGTGTTTGAAGCACAGATGGATATGCTCTCTCCATCTCCTCTGGCACTGTGGGACATGGTACTCACCCACAGCTGGTCGTCCACACCGGGAGGGTTCTTTTTAATGAAGGCACCATAGTAGGTGGCGATGTTCCTGTGGTGAGAGTATTTCTTCAGCATGTTGATCTCAGCTTTGATCTCCTCCTCTTCCTCCTGTCAAGACACATGCAGAAGGGAATCATGGGATATCTCCCTACTCTCTGAAGTAAAGCTTAAGGCATGTGGGACCACTCTAGTGACCTATAATAAGGGCTGATGGCCCACTTACAGATGCAGGTGCTTTTACGTGAAGTAGATGGAAGGAGGGCAGAGAGCACAGAATTAGCTCTTGGCCCTAAGAATTACATCCTGACTGGAGTGTTCCTCTGGGAGCCCCTCAAGCCCCCCAACTCAATGAGCTCTTCTCAAGAGCATGCTGGATGCTGCTGATGAACAGCTATTTGAGCTGATGACAACTCTCTTTATCTGCTCTCTCATTCACTACAGGTCAAACACAGAATTTCCAGGCTTCCCTCATCACTCGACCAATGATTTTCAATGAGTTTTCTAGGCATTTTGTGTTTACTTGAGGGATATATATGTATATGTATATGTATGTGTATGTGAGTGTGTATGTGTGTGTTTTACCATAGTTGTTATTGTCTATTAGATTTGGAGATTTAATTTATTGTTATTGGTCAATATTACATTTAATCGTTCGTGCTCGTTTCTGATATTTTTACATTTAGATTCATTCTTACTTCAAGTTCATCTTTAAAAACACTAATAATCTACTGCTACTACTAGTAATAATAATGCTAAATCGAATCTTAAGCATATCTCAAAATATCCTTTTTTTATTCAGTAAATTATAATGTTATGATGCCTAAATTCACTTGTACCATTTAAAACAATTGATTTTAATACTTACTGTATTATTTTTTTATTAAGACAAAAAAAATAGAAATATAATTGTCTTTTATCAGTTATCAGTCATCAAGAAAATAATTATCAGCTTATCTATATAGACCATAATTTAATTATTTTTGCTTCGTTATTAAATATAGAGAGCAACATAACTAGAAATATTTATATTCATTATAGACATTTCTGACTTTTTTCTATGACTTTTCTATTCCAGTTTTATATGGGGACCCTGCAAATCTCAAAACCTACTGTACTGCTAACCTAGACTGCGTTTCTCTGCATCACTCGCATTTTATTACAAACACTCATATATTGTCTAAAATGATGTCTATGAAGGCAGTCGATAAGGTTTTGTGAAATCCATAGTCTATAGTACAGGGAAGACGTTCGTCCTACAAAACAAAGATCCATGTAATCTGCTAATCAAGCGTTATTCACCCTGAAATAACAGGGGCAGCCACAAGCCATTACAAACACAGCCAACAGTGGCCAGTGAAATCATAACAGCTTGTGAACTGAATTCGCTACGGTATTTCAAAATTTACAACAGCTTATTAAATGCTAAATTGACTTTAGATTACAAATAAAAAGATAGATTGGAAAAATATGCCGTTAAAAAGAACAGACGTGACTGAAATACTGCGACTGAATAAAAAAAAATTCACTCCCAATTCATATGCTAGCATTGCAGCCCAAACTCTACTTTAAAAACACAGAAGACATTGGAGCCTTATATTTTCTGCTCTATTATAAAGAGGGATGCTAAAAGGTTATTAAGAACATATCATATTTTATCATCCAGAGAACTAATGAAGGGAAAACTAAGCCTTGAGGATATATGGATATACTAAAACTTCAAAAATTAGATCAACTAAGTCTAAAATAAACCTGCAGATCAGAGCAGAGGACTCTTCAAGAGGCTTTGACATCTTGTCTGTAAAAGACCTCAACAGCTTTAGAGCATTATAAGAGGTCGATACTGAAGTACAGATGAAAATAAACTCACCCCTGTGACATCCATGCACTTGATGGCAGCCAGTTGACCCGTTTTGACATGTCGGCCCTGCAGAGAAACAAACACAGGCTGTGCTTGAGAAAAAGCTTAAAACTTGGAATATTATTGTGACTTCATGCCTGGGAAACAAACAAAGAATGAACACCTAAACATTCAATGAATATATTTATCGCATCATATATTCCTATTCTAGGCAAACAAACAACAATTTCAAACTAAGAACAAAAATTTATTGTGTCCTTAGAGAATACAGGCAAAAGTCACGAAATGCCCAAATAAGGCTTGATTTGTCAACAAAAGCTTTAATTAATAAGTCATATATTTCAAGGAAATCTGACCTCAATCCCAGCATTTTCTGCTTATACAAATAAATACAGACTTCACAAAGAAACATTTGTTCCATAATTTGCAATTAATTACTGCGAAAGAGAGGCTTGTTGACATTAATACCGCAGATCACACCTATATTACATTGGATTACACCTGTCTAATAATAAAACTCAATGGGCATATTTGTTTTGTGAACAATCTTTTATTATCTCTCTTAAGCATGCTTCTTAATCACCTGAACTGAAAAGAACTGTTTCTTAAAATAGCTGGACTGTCATGCACACTTCATATCATCGCTATGTGAAATCTAAAAGGCACTGATAAATACTTTCGTTTTAAAGATGTGGACTTTAAGCCATGTGAACTCTGTAAGAATGAATGCACTGATTTGATATCTATGCTGTTCTTCAGTTCTAACTATAAACCTTAGAACTAGGTGTAATACAGTTCAGGGTTGGTAAGATTTTTTAAATGTTTTTAAAATTAGGTCTCTCATTCTCACCAATGCTGCATTTATTTGATCAAAAATACAGATAAAACCGTAATACTGTGTAATATTATTACAATTTTAAAAAACTGTTCTCCATTTTTTTTCCTTGTGATGGCAAAGCTGAACTTTCACCAGCCATTAACTGCAGTCTTTAGTATCACATGATCCTTCAGAAATCATTCTAATAGAAATCATTCTAATTTGGCTCTCATCCATTATGGCCATAAAAAAGAAAACTGTAAAGAAACTCAATACAGCAACTCATTCTCAGTATCACTAAACCACCCACAGAAGCTCATTTGTTTAAGCACAGGCCAACAGTGAAACAGGCACATACAATTCCCAAATCACAATCACATGGAGGTTTACAGTTAAGGCGGTCTGTCCCCATTTCTGAGTTACAAGAAGGTTTTGTTGAGTCCAAGTTGTGTCAGAGCAGTTAAACCCAGATTTCACTGTGAACACGTGACACATCTTCGTCCTCATAATATTCCCATCCCCCCTTTGCTCATTAACACATTAGTCCCTCTTACAAGTCAGCATTCACAAATACAGAGTTCTGGCATGAAACTCTAGATGGCGCAGTCCGATAGGTCTAACTCAATCTGACCTATTGACATCATTATCACATGGCACAGCTGATTGGTTCTCTCCTGTATCGGTAGCCAATGAGCTCACTGCTCAACATTCAAATATATGATTATTGCTTGCAGTAGCAGTTGCAGCTTGCTTCAGAAACCCTCCACCTTCCCCAGCTCCACCTGTATACTACGAGGTGATTCATGTTTGCTATATGGGGGTTAGTTCACGTATGTTATATTTGCAGCAGCAATATTTCTTACACGCTCACAGCAGCATGTTGTGGATGTATTGGCAGTAGCAAGTCTCGGTACTTGCTCTGCCGCAGCAGCAGCGTAGCAGATCTATTCCACCAAGACCAAATACATTAACATTGTCATGTACATTGCCATGCCAATCCCTCCGAGAGCTGTCATGACAGAACTAAGTGAAACCATACGGGGCATCACTGGGCAGAACTGGTTTAGTTACAAAAGTAGCAACTTCCTACTAATTCAGAGTGTCTGGCCTCAGCTATCTGCTACATCCTCCTTCTGATGTAGGTCACAAGCGTGGTGACAATCTTCCCTACGGTATCAGCCAATCGGCAGCCGGCACTCATATTAATTCTCTCTCATCGGCTCAAACCTCGACACTCCGCAACACGCTTTTCCCCCCTTCTTTCTTCAGACACCAGAAAAACAGATAGAGGGATAGAGACAGCAAAGCACTAGAGGAAGTAAACGGAGATACCAAAGATGAAGTCATCTTCACAGTTAAATGTCAGAGGGAAAGGAAATCAGAATAGCCCCCGAAAAGCATAGCCTGAGATGCAGGATTCAACATAATGTGAATGTCCTTGACTATTTGTAGGAAGGCCAAAAGAGAGATTGTCAGGCAAAATGACAAGACCACCTCAGAGGCACCATTAATGGGCAAAAATTCGACTCATGCAAACATTTACAGTCCTTTACCATAGCAAAATAACTGCAGCTTCTCACACACACACACACACACACACGGGCCAGACAGCACTGCTTTTCAAGGCCTCAGTGAATAGATTCGGCTGTCATTCAAAAGAAAAATCCAATCCTCTTTTCTTCAAAATTGAACATGGAGAGCTATTTTACCATCAGCAGGTGTTCAATCCAGAACCTCAAGAACACGCCGTCTAAGACTCAACAAAAACACTGCAAACTCTTGACCTTAACAGAACTGGTTTCATCCCCCTAATACATAATATTCTCACCTCATATGATACATTGACTCTGTATTTGCACTGCATTGCATTATATGTGAGCTTCGTGAAGTCAGCATAGAGTGTGTGCTTTTAGAATCGCAATTCCATTCAGCCATTGGTCTTTGTGACCTAGATCTGTGGTAACAGCCTGTGTGAATGAGGATTATTGGATTTAAAAACATATCTTATGAATGCTGTATACTTAAGGATATTTCTAGCACTCTGGCTCCTAATGGCATCGCTCAACACTAGGTTACAAACAGGAATAATAATAGAATCGCTCGCTCTCTGTCAGAGTAAACAGAGCAGGAATGAAAGAGGGCAATGAAGATAAATAGTTCTCATTCCGTGACGCTCCGTAACACATGGGTCTGCTTCCTCCGATCCTACTGATGAAATTATAGGCCACAGACCAAACACTTCAAAAGCCAGTAAGAATAACATGGAATATATAAATGTGATAATCATTAAAAAAAATTAAACTCTGTATCAGGTTACCATGGCATTATCATGGTACCACCACAGTACCCTTTAAAGGTTCAGATGTCAGTCTTAATACTGTCATCTGCATGGTTGTTACATCAGCTGTCGCAGTGTTAATGACACCGCAGAAAGGCAGAGCTGGCATTACAGTCACAAACTTATTGAGTATATGAACGGCTTCCATAACATCCATGTAATTGTGTGTTTACTGGCTTGATGCGTGACTTACATTTTTTTTCCAGTTGGTCCTCCTGTACTTGATTTAAATTATGCTTGTCAGCCAAGTAAGACTATTAGCATAGATGAGATTGTCAAAAATGACATTGCATCAAACTATTTCATAAAAAAAAATAATCATTTAAAAATAGGTTAAAATAGAAAATGTGAAATTAGATTTTCAGTAAAAGTTTTTATGAACTTGAAAAGTCCTGCATAACTTTAATACCTGTATAGATTCCCTATTCTTTGTAAAGAAAACATTTGATAAACAAATAAAAAGTATTAAAAATATATCGTAAAACAAATTATGATTGTTAAAAATAAACACTTTATTTATATAAAAATATGTCAATATAACTACTACACTTAAAAATATACATCATTATTTTTAAAGGACCATTTTAGATTTGCTTATGTAAACTAATTCCTTAACAATAAAAAAAGTCTGTCATATAGTCAGTCTTTGAAAAAATTAATTATAATAAAAATTATAAAATTATCTATATAAAAAAATATAAAATATATAAATAGAATTGTTATACTTAAAACTGTATTTCATTAAAAATAAGAAATGTAAAATTATAAAATGTAAAATTATTTCAAGAGGAAAAGTAGAACCTTGCTGCATTTTTAATAACCGCTAAAAGCACAACACTTTAATTAAAGCGCTGTGGCTAAAATGATTAAAAACAAACAAACACCCTTTCAGAGAAAATATAGATTAAGTCACTAATTGACTATACCGAGTTGTTAGATGAACATTCAATCTCCTGGTATTTCCTAATTAGCAACACAGATCCAATATTGAATGTGTCGTTAAGAGTCTGCCATAACATGCCAGATTTCTAGTTAATTTCTGCAGTTCCAGTGACAGCCAATTGTAATTTGCCTATAGCACAAGTGAACACTTCTGCAGTTAAAGTCGCTGTTTGACAGCGTTTCACAGCCTTATTCTGCAGCATTTTATGTTTGAGTTTGAGAGAGGACTACAGAAAAAGGGCTCCAGGGGTGAGATGACAGGGATTGCCCGCAGTTTCAGGGAATAACTGGGTTTAATGAGATAGCCCAAGTGTTTGCGAAACCAATTCGCTAGTGGCTTCTCGGCATGACTGCAGAGGCACAGTGGTGAGCGCTCCTGATAAGACTAAATTGACTCTTTGTGCGCTCTTTCGACTGGCCTTGAATTGGCACCACAGCCAAATCACACCAGCGCACTTTTGACCTCTCAGGTGGCTAAAACCGCAAGCACCAACTTACAGTTTATAGATACTAACAATTGGAAAACAGAGCTGCTTACCCATGTTTTCCTAATATTGGGTGTTTAAACACCGTCAAGCAAATTCAATGTTTGCAGCAGTGCTGAGTAGAAAAAAAAATGTGCACACCGGCCTGCTCCAATCTGTCGTTTCACAGCAGCTGATCATCAACACACTCCACGAGGAACTGAAGTGCCACATAAGGGCTGCAGAAAGCCAGCCAAAAAATTCTGAGCTAAACACAGACGAGAGGAAAGTTACACCACATCTAAAGACTTCTGGCTAACTGTACACGTCCACTGGTGCGGCGCTGAATGGGATATTCTAATTCATTCTCTATGGGAGCTGAGCGGCAAGCTCGGGGGATTGTGGGACTGACAGTGGAGTGGAGCAAACGGTGAGAGCATTAAACAGTTGAGAAGTTTTCAATGTCATGCAAATAAGAGGTGAAAAATGACAGATTATGTGGTTG